CGCGCAGCGAGCGCCGCCGAGAGCACCAGCCGCCGCGGGAGCTGCTCCGGCCGCACCATGCGCGAGCTGGCCATCGAGATCGGGGTCCGAGCCCTGCTCTTCGGGGTCTTCGTGTAAGTAGCAGCGCGCCGCGGGCAGGGGCGCACGGACCCGGCGACCCTCGAACCGAGCGCCCCAACTTTGTTTGCGCCGCGGCGTCCCGCGGGGGCCTGGATCGAGGTCCCCTCGGCGCCCGTGCCCGGGGTGTTTCCTGCGGGACCGGGAGCCGGGGTCCCCTTCCGAGACCCGCGGCGCGGAGAGCCCCGCGCGCCCGGGGCTGGGACCTGCCCTCTGCACCCGCGCCGTGCCAGGGAGTGGGCACCTTCTGCGCCGTTCCCGGCTCCGCTCCTACTGCCTGGGGCTGCTGGGCTGCTCCTCCGCGCCCAGGCGGGCGCACGCCCTCGGGAAGTTTCTCCTTCCCTGTGGCCTTTCGAACCCCGCATTTGCAATCGGGGCTCCCCACCCATCCCCCTCCCCGCTCGCCCCCCGCTGTCCCAGGGCCGGGCTCCGTCTCCTTCCCAGTGCCCGGCTTTCGCCCGGGTCCTGGTGAGCGGAACCTCCTGGTCTTCCAGGAGGCGTTTTTTGAGGTACTTCTCTGGCTGGGAAACTGTTGCTGTGGCTCTGGGGAAGTCGGGGCCGGCAGCGGGGGCCGTGGGCGCCATCTGCCCCGGAAGCCGGGTGTGGAGTCCAGGGCGACGAGGGTGCGGGCGAGGGCCCGTGGGGCAGCAGCGAATTGCCCCGGGTGGCTCTGAGCGGCGGGTACCTGGGAATAGCGACCTTGGGAAGAGGAAGAGGCGCTGGCACTGGTTCTTTCAGATATGGCTGAGCCCCGGGTCGTCCCGGGGACCTAGGGCCCACTGCCTCTTGGGCCCAAAGCAGCAGGGAGCTGTCGCCTCTCTGCCTTGCAGATCCAAGCCCAGAAGCCAGCTCAGACGCCCCACAGCCCCCTGTCCTCTGCCTAGCACGCACCTGTCGCCACCCTCCCTCAGCCGGGCAGGTGTTCGCCACCTCTGCCCATGGCTGTCTTTGACACGTCTTATATATTAAAGTTGCACGAACTTTCTGGGTTTGCGTGTTTGTTTGTTTTCTTGAAAAGCCTACTCAACTCAGCCGGTCTAAAGGGGGAGGCCCCTCTGGATTTGTGCCCCGAATCCGGAGTCATTGATGGCAGGTGGGAGGCTGTGAGATGACTTCTGTTCCCTCAGCCCAGGGGACACGCATGGAAAGAAGTGCCCTTTCTTGCATGTTTCTCTTTACTAGGGATGAAATTCATCCAGCGTGTTTATTCACACCCTCAGAGAAAGCCTGAGCTCCCCCAGATGCAGGCCCCTCGCCCAGCTTCTGACTAAACACTAGTGTTATTCAGTGGGAAGAGGAACGAGATGAACTTTGCCTGGGTCTTGATGCATTTGGGGAAACAGAAACATTTTCCTTCCTCTTACTCTTTTTCTACCTCGGGAATGTGTGTTAAAATGAGTGGCTGCTGTGCCATCAGATGGAGCCTGTTTCCACTGGGCAGATAGGCTAAGCCTCATTAAATTATTATGTGAAAGAAATGATAAAATCGTGTTCAGTGCACTGGAGAATCGAACATTTGTTGGGTGACTGTTTGTGTGAATAATGCAGAATTAAAGTGAGGTAGACTTAGCTGCCTGCTTTTATTGCTGCAGGGAACTGTCAGATAGAAAAGGAGTCAAAATATGTAAATATTTATATTGTTTTTAGATTTCCCTTCAAATATTCCCCCTTAAACACTTAGACGATATTTACAAGTGTATAATAGTCTGTGCAGTGGGCTTGAAAATCTGGTAATTATCCTTTTATGTGCTTCTTACTTTCTCTAAGGATGTTATATAAAAACCAGACAGGCCGTTTATATTGTGTTCTCCGAACTTCCTCCTTTGGATTAATTTTTTATTAATTACTTAGCTTGGGATCTGCTGTCATCATTCCCCAGGGATCCACCCCACTGTTTCTGGGATTTGGAGACCATTCTCTGATTTCAGATCATATTGCAAGTATTCAGAGTGTGCCCAACCTGTCACTCTTTTACCTGCAAAGACCAGCTTTGGTATCTCTGCAGGATACTGCTTGGGTGGGGATCTTGGCTGTTAAGATGCTGATATCATCAGGCAGATAATGATTCCAGAAGAGCTGGCCTCAAGCTACGGGATACAGATGGATACAGATGACCCTTTGTTTTCCCAGAGACAGACTGGTGGGCGGAAGGGTGGGGGCATTTCTGCTTCCTTTTGCCAGTAGCACTGGTCTGCCTGCTGGAAGTCAGTGGCTGATAACCCACCTGTGTGTAAGAAGACGGGGGTCTCAGTGGCAGGGCGTCACCCAGGTAGGGTTAAAAAGTCCCTCCAGTGCCCTCCTTGGTGGCACAACAGGTTAGGATGCAGCACTGCAAGCTGGCTGCAGCTGCTTCAGTGTGAGTTTGATCCCCCACCCCAGAGGTGACCCACAGGGCGCGGCAGACCTCTCCTGGCCCGCCCGCTGCTCCCCTCAGCAGTGTGCTTCATTGAGCTGCCTGTTCTGCTCCCTACTGTGTCTCTGGTGAAGCCTCTCACTGCCCCTGCACCTCTGGCTTGTACCCCAGTTCTGTGTGCATGAATAAATAAATCTTTAAAACAAAGTCCCTCCAGTTGAGCAGTTAGGTCCAACTTAGCTGCTCTGATTCATCACCTGGGTGGCTGTTGCTACTCCCTTAGGGGAAGAGCATAACCTTATTTGGTGGATGCCTACTTATTTGCAAACTGCTGCCTTTAGGGTCCTAAGGTCCACAGAGGCAGCTGTTCCCCCAGAGGCAGCCCGTGGTTCCCGGGAGTGCTCTGCTGAAGGCCTGGACGCAGCCCCGCGGCCATAGTCTCCTGTAGACCTGGAGATGGAGCTCACAGAGTGCATAGTTGGAGTCGTGGGTCTTGAGACTGTGCTTTTTTGCTCTCCTCAGGAACACTTCTCTGTAGAGCAGGTTTGGTGATTAGGCATTCTAAGAGGATGCCCCTAGGAATCCCCCCTGGATGACCCTTGCGGTTCCTTGGGGCAGACCTGGCTTGGAACCTCAAATCACTGGAAAGAATCAGTAATGAGTCATGTAAATTGCAGCCGGCACATGAAAGGTAGGTTTACCAGGGACACATTGGTCAGAGGAACCCAGTGTTTAGGAAAATCAGAGTGTGCGGTGCGCCTGTAAACTGGGAGGCACAGGGGCCCTTTGCTCCCACTTATGGGCTGGGGTGCAGGGGGGAAAGGAAGCCTGCTCTGTGCTGCTGCCTTCTTGGAGTCCAGCGCAGGTTCTGTGAGCTGTTTCTCCAGGGGCCAAGCCAGCCCTGGACCTTTACGAGCCAGCACACAGGGAGAAGGGGGTGGCTGGTCAGTAGCCCCCCACCAGTGGTCCGTTCCTACTGTGGCAGGGCCTCACAGAGCACCCCATTGTGAAGGGAATGACTGGCTGATGAGGAAAACACCCGTCTAGGCCAGTACTGAAGGAAAGGACTTTCTTCCACAGCCTGCTCTGGCCTTTCTCTCACAGTTTTAGACACCAGTGGCCGAGGCTCTCTGGGGGCTCGTGGGTGCTGGGGTCCTTCTTTCGTGTTCCTGTTGTGGCCCGTCCAGTAGTAGCAGTAACTGAGGGCTTATGCGCCAAGCTGCGATATTGTGATTTATAAGAAATACATCTGTTTGGTCGTTTTCATACAGGTTTGGTCTTTACACAGTTTCTGACTCTCAGCCCCAATGTCTTGGAATCTCCTAAGCGTGGAGAGCGCTGAAGGTGTCTCTTGTCCTGTTCAGGAACTTTTACAGGGAGGGGCAGAGGGAGGGCTGGTGGCCAGGAAAACCAACTTGCTTGGAGAAGAGGAAATTCCAGTGGCCCCTGGCTCCTAGCAACAGGGAGGGGGCGGGGCCACGGGTTAGGCTCAGGGCCAGTGGCCAGCGAGTCAGTTAGTCAGTCAGTCAGTGAGTCAGTCAGTCAGTCACACCGATGACCAGCGATGCTTCCATAGAAGACCAGACTGGGAGAGACCCCAGGAGCCCCGATTGGTGAGCACATGGAGCTTTGGAGAGACCTGTGTCCTGGACAGCAAGTCAGTCAGTCAGTCAGTCAGTCAGTCAGTCAGTCAGTCAGTCAGTCACACCGATGACCAGCGATGCTTCCATAGAAGACCAGACTGGGAGAGGCCCCAGGAGCCCCAGTTGGTGAGCACATGGAGCTTTGGAGAGACCTGTGCCCTGGACAGGGCCTGGCAGCCCAGGGCCTCTCCCGTCCCTTGCCCTCGGCCTCTCTACCTTGGTTACAGCTTGTGGAACAATCGCTGCTCTAGAGAGTAAGCAGATTTCCTGAGTTCCGCTGCTGTTGCAGAGCATTAATCAAGCCTGAGGAGGGTGTCTTGGGCCCTGGACTCCTGTGGTGGGACAGGAGCACAGATAAGAAACAAGCAGCCTAAGCTTGAGGGGGATGTGGGGGCCCCTGTCTGTGGCTGGTTGGTCAGAGGCCTGGGTGGCGGCCCGACCTGCTGCCCGGTCTGAGGTGGAGGGTGGTCCTGGGAGGCTTAGCCCTTGACCTGAGGTGTCTGCTGGCCGCTGCCTCAGGCACATGGTGTCAGATTGAGCTGGACTCTGGACTCACTACTGGGGACCCCTTGCTGATGAGAGGAAGCCTCTACGTGTGGGAAACTGGGTCAGGAAGCCACAACCCGCAGGCACCACACCCTCTAGTCCTTGTGCGGGTCTGGTGACCCGGTGTGTTGTTTCTGCTCGCAGATGAAGAAACCCAAGTACCTGCAGATCAACCCACATCACAGAGCTGAGATAGCCCCCCCCCCCCGAGTTCTGGCCCCAGTCTTCCCCGTATCTGGACTGTGGTATCTGGACCCTCGGTCAGTGGCTGCATTGCTTTAGAAAGAACATCAGCCAGGAGAGGCGGCTGGTCAGGAGAGGCGGCTGGTCAGGAGAGGGCGGCTGGTCAGAGAGGCGGCTGGTCAGGAGAGGCGGCTGG